ATATATATATATATATATATATATATATATATATATATAAGAAAGTAACTAGTAGTGGTACAGAAAAACACAGACACTCTCGTACTAGCTTGTTTCCTTTTATGTTCTTATGTTCAGTCTGGGATGTCTATTCGGTTTTGACCCACCCACTTCTAAACTGTCATCTGTTATCGCGTAAACCACATTTTTCATGTTTCTTCAATTTTTCGGAAACTTAATAGTAGAATTGAAATGTGATTTTAAGAATATTATAGAAGTATAAAATCTGGCCCTACATGCACATTTTCATTGAAAAATTTGGAGCCATTTTTCAGAAATTGTTTAAGCGTTTCTGAAAATGTGTATTTTAAAGCTCATTTTCACCTAAAACTTATGAGTTGTCAACCTTCATAAAAAATCAATTTATGCACTTGTACTCACAAATATAGTAATTCATAAGGTATGCCCGTAATATAAATACGACGTGAAGGACATGTAAAATAATTACTATATTTAGGGTTGCCACCTCTCCGGTTTTAGACCGGAGACTCCGGTTTTTGAGCTTCATCTCCGGTCTCCGGTTTTTGAAAAATTATCTCCGTTTTTTTACCAATTTCAATACATTTTCAATTTTTTTACAAAATAAATAGATTTTTCAACTTCAAATGTAAAGCTTTTTCTATTTCATCAGAAATCTGTCCTTTCCTTCTTCATTAGAAAGATAAAGAGCAGAACATGAAAATTGGTCTTCCGATTCTTGTGTTATCGCCATCCGCTCTCTCTTTCATTCTACGCGTATCAGACAGGGACAGCATCTACCGATTATGCGAGAAACGCATCGCGCAACAGTTTCAAGAATCCCCCGGGAATGCTATTCGATATTTTCATTTTGAACAAGATCGAATTTTCGTTCGTTTTTTCTTAAAAAATTATTTCTTGGAAACATTAAGATAAAGGTACATTTGTGATTCGTGGGAACTGCTTGTCATGTATTACTTGTGCGAAAACTAAGAAAACGGTTTTGAATGATTATGCAACATTTCGTATCAAAGGCTGAATATTTAGATGTACAATAACAATTTGAAATAAATGTTAAAAACGAATAATTATACAGGTAAGTTTTACATACAAATTTGTTTTACATATCTCTATAACCTATCAATAAAAATCTAAGCGTCGTAAAATCTGAGTTATTTGTAAAATTGAACTACGACTTGACTTGTGATCAATTCATTGATTTTCTTAATAAACCTGAGCAAATATCTCTTCTAAAAAAAGCTGGAAAAAGTAGAATGTTAGCAAAGTGTAACACTATTTTGAATAAAAGTTAATTATTTATAGATCACTAGAAACCAAAGATATGTAAATATATTGTAAAGAAATAAATATGTCTGCGTCAATTTCTTTTTAGATTTCAGTAATTACCCCCACCCCCGCCCGGTCGCAGCGATCACCGGTTTTCTGGAATTGGCAAGGTGGCAACCCTAACTATATTTGTGTAATTTTTGAAAAAAAAAAAAGTATTAATCAGAGTAGCATGTTATTCAGAGAATTTAGCATTCTCCATAGGGCTGCAACAAATGTAAAGAAAAGCATTTAAGCCAGCGTTTGAGGGTTTTTGAAAATAATCTTAGGGAATTTTGAGCCCATTTTTCACAGAAGAGTTTTGAGTTTTCGAAAAACCGGCAATACAAATATTAAAGACGTGGAAGAAATGTCAAAAATGTTACATTTGTGTAATTTTTGCAAAAAACGACGAAGTGGTTTATGTCAAGTTACAGTTTTTAGTATTATCCCTACAAAAAGCTTAAAGAAAAAATATATTACTACTAAGTTTAGGCGCTAGT